TCATGTCGTCTTTCATCATCCGGAAGCAATCGCCCAAGTCGCCGTTCACTAATGCTGCGATCAAGACGGTAGGAGTTTTGGTGGACTGTGTTCCTGTTTTGCATGTGGTGAGACAGGTTGCCAGTGTAATTGTTTGATGGGTTTTGTTGATTTATAGCTTGAGAGCATCAGGGAACTCGAGAGGTTCATAGTGAAGCATAGGAGGGATTATGTGGACCTGCATCGCACTACCGAGCAAGAGAGGGATAGCATTGAGCATGAAGTAAGTTTGCATACTGTATGTCATTGTTTGTTTTCATTTGTTATCACTTTTCCTGTGATGATGCATCAATGAGATCTTAAATGTGTGTGTTAATTGGCAACCTATATGTTTAATGCTCATAAAAATTGTCTAGCGGGTTGTTTGTCTGTTTGGCATTGCATTGCATTACAGTTCTCTATCATTGTAATGTGCTTGAAGCCTTCAATGTTTGAAAACTTCAATAGAAGCTTTTATTCCTGAAGCTCAGTGGCACAAAAGATATCTATTGTTGTACCATGTCCATTTTTGTAAAAATATATTTGGCTGTCAAGTTTTTTTTTTCACAACTGTACAAATCTAGTCTTGGATTACAATTATCGAAGACTGTAGCCCTAAAAGAATTGTTCAAGAGCATATATATATGCACAATCATGTATCCTTGATGCTCAGACATTCAGTTAATGTAGGTTGTGCTTCTCTCTGTTTTTTTTTCCTCGAACAACGCAGGAGAGCTGCGTGTTATTTCATTAAGAAGAGTGCTTCTCTCTGTTGATACTATTAATCTATGTTTGGACATAGTGATTGGGTGCTCTTTTTGTATAGACCATTGAGTTGGCAACCTATATTCATACTGGCACGCCACGCACTGATTCACATAACCTGCTTTCTATTCTCAATTTAGTACTTATTTGTAACTATTGAATGCATATTAGGTTGGAGTTTTTGTAAAAGCATGCAAGGAACAGATTGATATCTTAAAGAACAGGATCCATGAAGAAGAGAAGAATGGAAGTGGAAAGACATGGCTTGGCACTAAGGATGAGAGTTCACGGTTGGACTTGATAGCTCATCAGCATGGTGTGGTATGGTTATTCTCCTTGCCATTACTGTTATAAGTTTAAAATTTTCTGCTGGATTAATTATTTTTGAAGGAGTACATGATACATAAATAGTTAGCAGTAGAACTGGCCTGAATGTGTTCCATTTAGAGGATGGGGCAAAGTAATTCCTTAGAGCAACTCCAAGAATCTCTTTATATCCTTCTGTAATGATAGGAATAGAGATTTTGGTGAAAAAATCCCCTCCAACAGCTTCCTGAACTAGATCTCCAAATATTGCCATCCTTTATTCCTGATTTCTCGCTCTCCAAAGATAGAGAGCGAATGTAGCTTTCCAGAGCGCTGAACAAGATATAGAGAAGTTGTTAGAGGGTGGAGAGATATAGAGAGCGATTTTTATTAGAATGACTCTCTGAACGAGGATTTAGATAGTAGGTTTAAGAAAGACTGTTGAGGATGCTCTTAGGTACCTGCTACGATGCTACATGTATGATGTATTATGAGCAAAGATTTCCTTTCATTAGAGCCAATTGAACAGGTGATCCTGTTGAGGATTGATGTTTTCAACATTTCCTTTCCAAATTTTTAAGTTGGGTGTATATTTGTAGGATGTCAGACCTCGATTGGTTGATTTCATTTGGTAGGATAAAAAATTATGCTCTTGTGGCCAGCTCTAGTAAGCTGTCTGTTTTGTGTCCAACTTTCAGGTTCTAATTTTGAGTGAGCATCTCCATTCGGTAACTGCACAATTTGATCGTCTTCGGTCCATGCGTTTTCAAGATGCTATTAACAGAAGAATGCCAAGGAAGAAGATTCAGAAGAGACCAGAAATCAAACCTGCTGAACCATCCAAGTCCAATCTTGTTCTACAATCTGATGTATCAAAGATTGTAGAACAGGAAGTATCTACAGCACCTATGAGAGTTCAAGAACAACTATTGGATGATGAAACAAAAGCCCTCCAGGTAGTATGTGGATGGCATATAAATTATTCTTTAGTGAAAAACTTGGCTATTTTACTTAACTACCATGCAACATGTGTGTCCTGAAACACTTCTCAGGTGGAGTTGACAAGTCTTCTTGATGCTGTCCAAGAAACGGAGACAAAGATGATAGAAATGTCAGCACTTAATCATCTTATGTCAACACATGTTCTACAACAAGCTCAACAAATTCAGTATTTATATGACCAGGTATAAGATTCGTTTAATCATATTCGACCAGTTTATATGTTGTGTTTTATGTGAACACAAACATATAGAATGTCAGAATCTACCAAAGAAAGTATAATGGTCACATGAAGGTTATGTCCATGAAAGAGCTTTGTAACACCGTATAGAGTTAAATCATTGTCTCCAGCCCTAAGGTATAATAGCTCACATATACTTGATGACTGGTGAACACTGTTTAGTGATAATCTGTGGCATAGGCAACCCAGGTTTAAGTCCTTGTCGAGGGGAATTCGGGTTTCTATTTTCTTCTTAATATACTCCTAGGTGTGTGTGTGTGTGTGTGTGTGTGTGTGGTGGGGTGGGGTGGGGGGTATTGGTGCATGGTCAGATTTTTTTTCCCTTAACTGAAAGAACGCATGATTTGGATATTCACTAATGAAACGAACTCGATTGTTATCTGTATGTCCTCATAGAACATCTTCTGTGCAGGCTGTTGAAGCTACGAATAATGTGGAGCGTGGGAACAAGGAGCTATCCCAGGCAATCCAGCGCAACAGCAGCAGTAGAACCTTTCTCCTGCTCTTCTTCTTTGTTCTCACTTTCTCTGTTCTTTTTCTTGACTGGTACAACAACTGAATTAGTATATGAAGATTGAAGACATTGTATTGTTTTGCTCATAAGAAATGATCAAATTATGAAAGCTGTCTGTCTATTTGAGGTCCTGACCTTTTAGGTACTACGGTGCTTCCCATGCATACTGTTCAATGTACTGTTCATCTTAATATGCTGGGATTTGTCATTTCATTTCTGGCATGCAAGCTACAGAAGCGATAGGCACTGTACTGTGATGCCCAAGTGAGAAGAACATCGATCAGTGAGCAAAACCAAAAAGCTGCAGTTGCTCTGAAGAAACAATCTATGTGGCTTTTGCTTCTTTTGATCTGAAACACTTGTTCCTCTAATCATCTGAAGAAACAACTGACAATCTGAAACTTGTTTAGCAATTCACGATCTGAAGAAACAATGGTGGGTGTACTACTGATCTTCTGGTCCTCTGAAGAAACAATATGTTCAGTACGTGTTGAGGTGCTGCAATTTCTTTTTGTTTCAGTTGACCTGTGCAGCACTTTTTACCAGGGGGGCAACGTTGCAGTTTTCCCACTGGTCATATTCCCAAATAAGTTATGGGGTTTTGTATTTTCTGTGATAGATCAGTGAAATTGTGGCTGCAGATGAACTGCACTTGTGTAAGATGTGGACACCCTCAGACTCCTTTTTCAGCCATCAGCACACATTGACTGGCTGATGATCAGTAATTAAAAAAAGTTTAACATCAGTGACAATTTATAGATGATCTGAGGTATCAGTCCTAATCTTAGCTACATTCTCTAGCTTGGAGCATGTCTCCAACACTCCTCACACCACTGCAACTGAGTCTAAAAGCGAGTCAATGTGTGTTCCCCTAAATATGACCTTCAGTAAGCACTAACTGATTTCACATATCGTTTACCAAACACAGAGAGCCTTTCTTCTCCTGGATATTTAAAGGAGGATGATTCTGAACACTAACTAATAATCCAGTAACATGTTATTTTCAGAGCAAAAATAAAAAGGAACTCGTTCGTGGACCATCTGGACCAGGCCCTCCACCTCGTCCTTCCCGGAGGGCAGTACCGCGCCCGCGCACGACACGTCGTACCCGTGCTCCTTGCCGAACACGTACTGCATGATGCCGTAGTCGAGTGACACCAGAGAGAGTGAGACACGATCGTTTTCATCGAAAGTCTTGCATCCGGTTCCTCCGATCTCCATTCACTCCCACGGCTTAAAACTGCCGATGCACCCGCGTGCACCGCATGCAGTTGGTGCCTGACAAATTTGGCGCCGGTAGATATGCACAGCACCAAATGGTGTTGAAACAATGCCGCATCAGGGCGCTCGCTCTCCAAAACCAGCAACCACTGAAGACGCCTGCGTCCTCATGTTTAGTGCTTACCTTCCGTACACCGTGCCTCTCTAATTACCCCAGCAAGCAGCATCGCAGATTTGCTTCGGTGTCACGTTACCCTCTGCGAGCTGATATGGAGGCAGCACCGGCACATCGTATAATCCAAAGCCACTCTTCTTCTTTTTCTGTCTGCCTACTGCGACAGATGCGACGCCGCCAAGTGCCGCCATGCGATTGCGCCAGGTCGATGGCTCCCACGTTTGGGCACCGGACGCTAGTTATTCTGTCGGTTGCGGTGGGCCGGCCGGTGGCCGGTGCCCGGTGGCCGGTGGACTCTGTAGCCTGTCCCAGCGTCCGCGGCTCCTCGGCCGCCGATCTTCTTTTTAAACCCCCTGCGCTCGCTCGCTCTTCATCCCTTTCTTCTTCGGAGATCAAACTTGCCTTGCCAGACTAGTAGTCACTGGTCAGTGAACACAACGCAGCGCAGAGCAGAAAGGCAGGAGGCCACCAACCTAATCCATAACTGCCCTCCGAACGCCAACTCCTCCTCCTCCCCCTCTGCCACCCTCGACGCCACGCCATCTCTCTCGCTCGCTCTCTCCCTGCCTTGCCTTGGTCAGTTTCGTTTCGATCCCGCTCCTGAACAGGAAGTTGGCAACTGGGGGGCGCTACCTGCTTCTTCCTCCGGTGAAGATACTAGAAAGGAGTCGCCGATCTCGGCCTTCTTTGATCCGGTTGTGGCCTTGGCCTGTGGGGGGTGCCTGTCCTTGTCGTCCACCGCGCCGTGAAATCGGCCGGCCATGTTCGTCAAGAAGCTCGTGGAGAAGGCCTCCAAGAAGGTACGGCTTCTCTCCCTTAACCCTACATCTGTGCTCTCCCAGTTTCCGTTTCTGCCGTCTCTTTTCTTCGGGCTAGGCTCTTGGTTGAAGATACGTACCATTGAATGAAGCATTAGATACTTATTACTGTAGATTAGATGAAAACTCTGCAGAAGACGCTGACGAAATTTGGGGCTGCGGCGAATCCTCATTGAATTTCCATGCCGCTCAGGACAGGAATTTTTCTTTGGGATTAGATAATCCTGCGTGTTTGCGGCGAATCCTGGTTGAATTTGCATATGTTTATCGATTTTTTTTCAGTCGGAAAATTTGCTACTCGAAAAATTGCACGGTTCGCTTGTCTGATAAGCAAATACTATTTGGTGGGTGAAAAAATACGGCTTATAAGCTAATCTGTAGAGGGCAAATGTCGCTATCCCGTTTTCCGTTTTTAAGCATTGTTTTCCTCTCGGAAACTAGAAAAAGAATGTCCTCGCAGACGCCGTGCCGTATGGCTCGTTATACACTCTGACAGAGACATGGTTTAACCGAAGCTCTGTTCAAATTTCAAACATTTTCAAAATCTAGGACACCCAGGAAATCAATACGGCACGCGTAGAGCCATGTGATCCCATAAATGTCGAGCCACTAGCATATTGTTTTCGGACGCGTAGTTTATTCCCAGCATAAATTATCCTTACCTGTGGTGAAAGTGAAAAGTAAGTCCCTATTTGGCAGGGCTTTTTTAGCGACTCCAGGAGCCGCTTAGAGCCGTTTTCTGCTAAACGGGGTAAAATAAAACAGCTCAATCGATGAAGCCTCTAAAAACGTGCTCTCACAGAGCTTTGGTGTGAGAAGGAGCTAAAAATAGTGGCTTCTCTCGGCTTCACCTCATTCTACATGCCGTTCTCTGAGAGCATATTTTAAAAAAAACTATATGTAAAACTGTTTTGCCAAATAATTTATCAAAACGGCTACAGCTCCACCCATAAAACTGTTTATGGAGCTGAAGCAAAAAAAAATACTTCATGGATGAAGTGAAGCCGTGCCAAACGGGGCCTAATCTGGAGCCGAGATAGAGCGTTTTGGTGGAAGCATGATCTTTGTTAAAGGCGATCGAGATGGATAAGAGTTTGCATTGACGAGGTCAGATAGTAGCAGCAGCAGACCAGCAGTACGTGGATTAGCTATCATTATTATTAGGGATCTAGTGAGATTTAAAATGTCTGGCCGGTTCTTCGAGATCAACGAGATCCGTTTATTCCAATGCTGGGTTCGACGTATCAAACGCCGGGTTTGCATCGAGTCGCATTTGGGTGTAAGCTTAGCCTCTCTTCTTTTTTTTTCTCTGGCCCCAAATGCTCAAACTGTACCAGCTGTTTTACCTGGCACGGTCCATGTCTGGCAGGCCACTTGGAAAGTGCCGCCACTTGTGCTGTGCAAAGGACGGGGAATTGGAGGTGGTGACTGTTGCAGAGGTCAAGGAATGATGCGTGCATTGCATTGTTAAAGGGAAAAAAAGAAGCAGTAATCAACTTGACAGCGGAGCAAGCTGTGGAGTAGTTAACGACAACGGAGAGCAGGTCATGTACTGACAGTGACACGGGGAGCGGCAGAGATAATCCGTCATCGTACGTTGTTAGCGTAGGTTTATCGAACTGGAGTCTGGGATTAGTACGTGTACGGTTGTCTCTTGGCGACTTGGTTTTCAATTGGCTAGATCCGGGACGTCTGGCAGCTCAGAATGCCTCAAAAATAATGCGAGAAGGTGCGTGCTAGGTTGACGTGAACGTGACCGGCCACGTGCAAGGCCGGTGAGCGGCTGGTCCAGGAGACCCGCGGTTTGTGCCTCGTAACCTTTCTTTTGGTTTTTAGGGCCCTTTGCTAATCATTGCACTAAAGTTCACTCTGGGCTGGAACTGGAATGGATTTTTTGCCAGCCTGGTGGGTAGAGTTCGTCTCGAAGATCGTTTAGCAATTACAATTCGTTTTTTTTTATTCTGAGTCAAATTTCTTTAACATTGGTTAAGTTTTTATCAAAATGCATCAACAATTACAATGTTAAATTAGTTCCACTGAATTGTCTATGGGGTATGTTTTGACAAAGCATTTACTTGAATTCGTAGATGTTAATATATTGCTAATTTAACAAACAAACAAGCTATAATTTTGAAAGAGAGTAGCACAGCATGATTTTACACGGGAAAAAGATAAGAAAAATGAATACTTTTCAGAGAGCATTTCCTCGCTCGAGCAAAGAAAAGAAAATTGTAACACGAAATATGTCAAAAAGTAATTAAAATTCAGCTCCCGGCGAGGATCGAACTCGCGACCTTTCGCTTACGAAGCGAACGCACTACCACTATGCTACGGAAGCAGGTGCTGCTGGCTTTGAAACTAAGCCTTTTATTCTTTCACTTCAACAGCAGCATATCGGCAGCATCAGCTCCCTGCGCGCCGAGGACGTCAGTCCGCGGCTAGCCTTCCACTATGGCGTCCCCGCCGACGCCGCCCTCCTCGCCTACGACCCCGTCCTCCACGTCCTCGCCGTCGCCACCAGGTAACAGCACGGCTGCCGCCTCGCTACCTTCCGCTTCGGTGCTCACTCCCCCCTTTCTCCGACATTGCTGACGCGCGATTGCTTTCAGGAATGGGCAGATCAAGCTGTTCGGCCGCGACAACACGCAGGCGTTGCTCCAGTCCCCCTCCCCACTCCCTTCCAGGTTCTTGCAGGTACCACCGCGCCGCCCTCCCGTCGCTCTCCAATCCCACTGCTTGATTTGCGTGTCCGATGTCGCGTGGCGAGACTTGGAGGCGACTCACTCTAAGCTGTTCCGTTTCAGTTTGCCGAGGGCCAAGGGGTTCTGCTCAATGTCAACACCCAGAACCAGATCGAGGTGATTTTTTTAACTAATAAATATATTTGATTGATGCTGTCGCTTCCATGTATTGTTAATCCGGAAGGCACCTTGTGTGCAGGTTTGGGACATTGATGCGAAAAAACTCTGTTATCTGCACCCGATTGAAAAGGCGATCACTGCATTCTCTGTGCTGCAGAAGAGCTCCTACATGTGAGTTATAGACTTGAATTGTTGCCGACTATTGAGTCCATGAATTCCAAAGGTTTAGTGCTCTAATGGGAATTCTGTGCCTGGCAGATATGTTGGGGATAGTTCTGGAAATGTGTCTCTATTGAAGCTTGATTTGGCTCAGAGATGCCTAGCTGACATGCCGTACTGGATACCTTTTACTGAATCTTATGGTACGATGTTGCTACACTAGAAATATCTGTCTACCGTGCTCATAATCAACTTTGTCAATCGGTGAAAAACATTTTTCGTATTTTTCAGTATGTGATCACATTCAAAAGGGAGCACCCTTCAGATCTTGGTTTCATTTTTAGATAATTCTTGCAATACGAGCAGCCGTAAATTGAAGTGGAACACTAAAAGTTGACTCATTTTGTTTGGGTTTTTGTTTCTTTGCTGAAGGTTCCACTGCTAGTGCTGGTAATGATGTCGAAGTAATATTTGTTTCGCCCCAGCCTTTGTCTGAATTGAACAGGTCAATCTCTTCCTGGTGCTCAGCCATATATCCAAATCTAGAATTAACAGGTTAATCCTGCGTGTTCGAGAAAAAAAACTTCATCTTAATAACCCATCTAGTATCCCTGTTTGATCTTACATTCCACTATTTGTAGACATATGTCACATATAGAAAAGTCTCATCAAGGTACACTCTTTTCTCAGGGTGCTCATTATATTCAGAGATGGGGTTATGAGTTTGTGGGATATTAAAGCTAGCAAAGCAGTATCCATATCTGGTAAAACTATGCAGCAGCAATCACAGAAGGAGGCTAAAAATGTAACGTCAGCATGCTGGGTTTGTGCCAAGGGAAGCAAAATTGCTATTGGATGCGATAATGGCGATTTATACATTTGGGCCATTCCTGAGGTTACAAGTACACAAAATTCCTCATCTATGGGCAGCCAGAATCTACCTATTCAGAGGCTTAACCTAGGATACAAGCTAGACAAGTTGCCAATAGTCTCTTTGCAATGGATCTCTAGCGATGGAAAGGCAGGTCGTTTGTATATCAATGGTTTCAATGATCATGGACACCTATTTCAGGTGGAAACACTGACCTTTAGCAAAACAAATATTTAAACTGTTGCTCAAATAATAGTTTGTAGACTGTCCACTGCCATAAATTTCAAGTGCCATGCTATATCTGCCCATGTACCTTGTTTTCTTATCATGCGGAGTTCTGTTATAAAATAGCAATGTGCCTTATCACCTGTAACATTTTGCTTCATAATAACAATTTAGAATCAATGGTTTTATAATTGGCTGGTCTGTAAATTGAAATATCACACTTTAAATGGCAAGCTATGACTGACCAAAAAAGTGTTTTTATTTCCCAGAAACATTTGAAAGTTGCCCCTTTGTTGGAGCCTGTATTTTCTTCCCTACAAAATTAGTTTGATGATTTACATGGATAATGTATCTTGATTGTTTCTGTTCAGTAAGAACTGCATCTTTGTTCAACCTTCCACTTGGTGTTTATGAATAGGTTCTGATTCTGAATGAAGAGAGTGAATCACGAATTGTAAAGATGGTCTTGCCTATCGCTGAATCTTGCCAAGGAATGGAACTTGTTACAGGGCTTAGTGACCCAAATAAGCACAGACAAAGTGCCCTTGTTCTTTTGTTGAAATCTGGTCAGATCTGTTTATATGATGATTCAGAAATTGAGCGCTATCTCCTTCACTCTCAGTCTAGATCACCTCCAACACTTCCAAACTGTTCATATGTGAAGCTTCCTTATGGTGATTCAGGCATCAGTGTTGCAAAGTTGTATACATGTAACCCTGCAGCCTTAGCTTCTTTGGACGAGGCATGTATATACTTGTTATTTCTTTCAAAAACTTCGAACTCTTTGATCAAATTGTTCCTTCTTCTAATGGTGCGCAGGATTATTTTTCATCAGCCACCAAATATCCATGGCTGTTTTCAATGAAGGATAAAGGTCAGACTTTAACAAGTTTTACCAACATTCATAAGACCCGGAACCTCTGTATAACTGGACATCTAGATGGAACCATAAGCTTTTGGGATGCATCATGCCCTCATTTGCTGCAGATTTTTACGATAAAGCAGCAGGTTCCTTCAAATTACAATAACTTTTGAACATTCATAGTTATGCATTTGCATACCAATTAATATGTTGGTTACTTTGATATTTGTGCAGAATGAAGATAATACATCAACTGACAACCCTATCACATCATTACAGTTTGATATGTCCTCTAGCATTCTGTTGTCTGGAGAAAGGAGTGGAATGGTAAACTATTCCATGGCCATGACATGACTTCTAGCTTCCATGTCTGATGCACTTGCAGTGCAGTAAAGCTTCTTTCCTCTTATTTCTAGGTCCGTATTATCACATTCAAAAAGGACTCCAGCAACAACATATTCTCCTTTTTAAATGGTATTGTTATCCTCACACTGTTCCTAAACCCAACAGTTGGTGCTTCTATCTTGGTATGCTTATGTGTTGTTTGCATGGAAAATTACACTACAACAGCATCTATACTGTCATTCAAAATGTTGACCTTTACCAGTTCGATGTGTACTTGCTCAATAAAAATTGTGGAACATGAGACTAAAAGACATAGGTGTAATTTCGGAGACTAATATCAGCTTGTTCTTTTTCTTCGTGACATGATTTTCAACTTGTAATAGTAGGGTTCTAGTGATCTAGTCATCATCTTGGGAGAATGTACCTTGTGGAAACATAGGAATGACTGTGTGTTCAATGGTGCTGCCCACCCTAGCATCTATGAGGGAGTCCCAGCTTTGGTGTATGGCATGAGCTAAGGGGCTGTCTTTCCACCCTGCCCCTATCTCAGGTCATTTATTAGTTTTTCTAACAGGCACAAATGTAATTAATGTTTAAATCGGGTGTGGGTGGGTGTTGTAACACTCCCTTCTTCTATTAATGCAATGATACGCAGCTTTCCTTCCTGTTCAAGAAAAAAAATTAGAGTTCTAGACAATTATCATCATCATCAATTTTATTATAGGGTGAGACAGTGGGTGGGTGGCAATATCTCATGCCTTGTGTTGAATATAAAGAATAATGTGATATTAGTATAGAAGAGATGTGTGGGGTTTTCCTGCAGATCTATTCCAAGAAAAGAAATATGATATGTTGTTGCTTAAGGTGTATCTTTGGTTGGTTGGACGCTACATAGTCTACAAGTGTATTCATAGATGCAGATGTAAGAGACTCTGTAAGAATTGGTATGCTTGGTCTTATCATTTGGATGAATGACCTATTTTTCTTCATGACACATTTAAATACATGAGTTTTCAAGTTTATATATTTTATATCTTGACATGATCAAATAATTTGACAGCAAAGCAAGGAGATAACTGCAATGTCAGAAGTATAAAGCTTAAAGGAGCTGTAACCACAATGTCTTCTATCTCAAAATCAAAGCATTTTGCTGCTGGGACAGAAAAAGGAATTGTAAGTGATCTATTGTGTGTAGTTTGTACAAACATTCTCAGTTTTTTTGGGCTGTAATTCCTAGGCGCTGTTTAGTCAACAGGCTGGATAACCCAGTAGCCCACAGAATTTCAGAGCTAGGCTTGAAAGTAGAGTTCATCCTTGTATATTCTAGCATTGGTGACAGAAAATTATTTTCTCTTGATTAGCAATAAATTTTTGTATTGTTAATTTTAAGGATTTTTACAGTGCCTTGAACCCCACATGTTGTTTCATGTAATAAATAGATAAGGCAGCCTCCTTGGTCTCACCAACATGTTTGTGACTTTGTGTCCTAGTTTCAGAAAACAACATTTGTTTATCTACAAGAGTCAGAACTATCAAATATCGGTATGTGGTTGCTATGCTACATGAGGGAAGCGAAACTAAATGGTTACAAACAAGATTAGCAAATTATTGTTCTTATTTATTTTTTAAAAAATAGCAACCATGGAATCTCATGATGGCCACAAAATTTTTTAACATTCATGGCTTGCAATGATCAGTATCATGGATATCGATATGTCCCTGGTTATTCCATAGAGATAAAATGATAAATTTAAGCAAGTATCCCATGGATTTTACTTCATTTATATGTGGCTCAGATTTGTTAGGTTCTATCTGGTCCCAGTGTTCTAAGCCAACAAAATCCTATAATGTCACAAAATCCATGTTTCAGGTATCAGTTATCAACGTAGAAGATGCTACAATCTTATATCAAAAACAGTTTGAGTGTCGACTATCTGGTGGAATCGCCTCTTTGCAATTTGAAATCTATAGCCATAATGGATATGACAAGGACATTTTGTTAGCAGCGATGGAAGATTCATCTATTTTTATTATCGAGGAAGAAAATGGGAAACTTTTGAACCCCAACCCAGTTCAGACTGACAAACCCTCTAAAGCCCTTCTTCTGCAGATGTTAGGTGCACTTTATGGCATTGCACACTTATCAGTTTTTGTTGATAAATTAACTATTGGCATTCTAAGTCTCTGTAGAAAATTTTGTGACAGAGTTATCGCCCAATGACACACCAGCAGTTTCAGATAACCACGATATAGTATTGAAGGAATCATTGCTGTTACTTTGCACTGAAAATGCAATCCGCTTATTTTCCTTGAGCCACGCAATTCAGGTATTTGTATCTCTAATTATCTATCATTTTTTTTTCTTTACCACGAGTTGTCGTTGTACTTATGGTTTTATACTCCATTCAGGGCACAAAAAAGATAATCAATAAGAAGAAATTGAATAGTAGTTGTTGTTTCGCCTCTCTTATTCATAGTTCTTCTAATGACATTGGACTTATACTTGTCTTCTTCAATGGGAAAATTGAAATAAGGTGAGGCAACAATTTACTTAAAGACTTCGATGTGCCTGTGGATGCTAAAGTGAAGTCAATGTGCTTCCTTTTTTTGTGTATGTGAAACTGCAGATCCCTGGCAGACTTATCCTTGTTGAAGGATGCCTTTTTACGAGGTTTTGTGTACTCAAGAAACTTGAATTCAACTAGTTCCATAGCATGTTCATCAGATGGAGAAACCATCTTGGTATGCTCTGCGCCTGCCCATCCTTTTCTCATACTCTTCATTGTTTAAAGCCTTTATCTACTAAATAGCATGTAAATTTTCAGTTGTAAAATAATGTATTGTCTTACAAAATAATCAAATTGATTTTACAGTTTAATGGAGAAGAGACCTATTTTTTCTCTACGCTCTGCCAGGATGAGATATACCGGTATGTTACTATGTAATTTTGTAGTAGTTTTGCACTTTTGTGCCTTTCAGACCCATGGGTTCATGATTAAGCTACTGCCATAATTATCAATGTATAACCTAATAATTTCAAAAAGGAATTTCAATTCTAGATCTGAACACCTAGATGCAGTTCCTTTTAGTTATTTTGAAGATTGGCTTATGCTATCTGAGTACTATGGTTTTTACACAGGCACGTGGACAGCATTAGTACAGTATACAGAAAAGAGAGCTCAACCAGGGAAGACTCTTCTTTTGTAGTGAAATCTCCTAAAGAAAAGAAAAAGGTAATTAATTGATCGTAGAGAGCTGGAAGCCATCTACATAACTTTACTTACAACGGAAGTATGGAACTCAACAGGGTCTGTTTGGAATGATTATGAAAGATAACAAAGGAAGCAAATCAAAAGAAAGTGCTGCAAATGGCAGCGAACAACGTATTGCAACGACTTCTGAAGAGCTGGCTTCAATATTTTCTTCAACTAACTTTGCTCCGCCATCTGAGGGAAGGAACAGTTCACTAAGAGATGATGAAAATGTCGAGCTGGACATAGGTATATGCTATCATTTTGCTTTTACTTGTGTAGCAGTATATACTTATGTTTATATTATATGTTTTTTGTCTGAAGATGATATCGACATTGATGACAACCCACAGAAGCCAAAAGGACCACATTTCCCTGGTCTAAGCAAAGAGAAAATCAGCAAGGGACTCCATACCCTTAGAGGTCAGTAAAGTACACTTATAAGATGTTCATAAATTTGTAATCCACTGTGTGGCTTTGTAAAATTGGGTTCTGAACTTCTGATTCAACTATATTTAAAAAAATTGTGTCATGTGATCAAGTCAATTATGCACATGCAGGAAAGTTGAAGCCCAAGACTGAAGAAAAGATAAGCTCAGGAAACAAAAAAACTGAAGATGAAACATCAGTGAGTCAAGTCGATCAGATAAAGATGAAGTATGGATATGCAAATACAACAAATGATGTGAGTGCATTAAGCTCATCGATGCAAATCATATGAATTATGCATAGAATAATGCACAATATAATTAGCAGCCGTGTTTCAATTACCATTTGCCAATCCCTTTTCATGTTTATATGAACAGGACTCAACCAGCGTTCCAAAAATGATTGGAAACAAGCTGCAGGAGAACATGAAAAAGTTGGAGGTAAGATGCTTATGCTTCTCTAACCAGATCATGCAGTTAGGAAACTAGGCTTCAAGATTCTTAACTTAATTAGATGTACCCTAAGGAATAATATAGTTCCGTGGTTCCTGTTGACATGACGCTCACCAGTAGTCCTTACAAAAAACCTGCAGAAACATAGAAGACTTGCTATTGTTGCCCGATAACGTGGACCAATGTGCTTTCTGCAGGGCATTAACCTTCGGGCTGCTGATATGGCCAGCGGCGCCCAGTCATTCTCTGCAATGGCAAAAGAGCTACTCCGGACAACAAAGAACGAGAAGGGGACCTCATAATCACCTACCAATTTCCCCTTCCTGTTGTAAAGTTCTTCATTTCCGTTTCTCATCCCTGGATTGTCGATCTGATTATCTGGATCTGCCGTTGTCTCAGTCTCTTCCACTACATACAACTATACAAGCAGGTTACTTGTAAATAGTGAATCGAGTGTAGGTGCAACTGAGGTCTATACTTGACATTGCCAGTTATTTTTTGCCGCGGCAATTTTGATTCTACACTTATACTATGAGAGCAGCTCTCGTCTCTCCGAAGAAGCTTGGGCTCTGGTTCCGACTTATTCACCCGCTGAAGCCTGAGACAGTCTCAAACGGCCAAAACAATATTGATTATTTGATTCTGATTATAAAAGCAGCAGGGTGATTTCCAAAAAACCGAACTTGAACTTTGGATTCTGATAAAAGAAGAAAAAACGAACTTGAACTTTGGAGTGATAAGAAGAAAACCTGGTCCCAAATACCACCTCCGTCCCCACCCCGCCGCCCCCCCCCAAAAAAAAAAAATGGTCTACCACATTACCAAGTAAAAATATCTCAAGTTCAACAAATTTATATAAACTACAAATATTTATGATGCCAAATTAAGCATCATTAGATTCATGCAATATACTTTTAGCCTGGTTAGTTGACATTGTTGTAGCATCGCTGCAGCTGTACAGAACCACCGAACCAACTCCAACAGCACCAGCCACAGCCTAAATTAGCTCAACCGATCAGAAAATTTCATAATATTATCTGTGGTCATAAATTTTAGTCAAAATTAAAATAGTTTAGTACCATTGGCTGATTTATTATGAGAAAAAAATACTATTCATTAACTGAAAAAATACGGCTCAGGAATGATCTTCACACCTTCACGGACAGCGTCACACATAAAAAAGGGCGCGTTGAGCTAATAAGAGCATCGAGCACGAAAAAACACCAAGCATCCAATGCACCAACTCAAGCACAGACGGGACAGCAGACGCTGTTAACTGCAAGTCTGCAAACCAACTATAGGATAGTCACCCAATTAGTCGATAAAACAAGAAAATCAACAGTTTACACATGCTGACGAGGCTGGCATGAGTTTCCGGCTCTTCTAGTTAAACGGGCACTCCAGCATGCCATAGCCCTAAGGTTCCATCATGTACAGATTTTCCTTACAGCATATAACATCAAAAGGAACAGCACATTGGAAGCTAAGTAAAGAAGAAGCAAACACCCAATTGCAAAGCTGCTGTTCCCCATCCTACTATTTACTCTTCATCCTGCAAAGAACAAATTACGCGGATGTTAGCAACAATTGGCAAATTCCATCTGCACTGTACCACCCATTATGACGCATGGGTTTTACATACCTCATTACCATCCTGCTCATCATCATCCTCAACCTCGGACTTCGCTGCTTCCTCTCCCTCCCGACCATCAGTTTTGGCCTTCTTGGAGCTAGTGCTCTCCTGATTAAAACAACACAGTACATCATCACTAAAACAGAAACATAAAGCTCCGGAAATACAAGACCAATTTCATGGGACAGCAGTAAATATGGATAATTGGTGGTGCCGATAACATGGGGTGTCTAAGTTCCTCAGCTATTAAAAAAAAAGCAGCACTTCAATTCGAACATCAGCAGCAATTTCTATCCGTCTTTTCCTAATGGTCTCACTTTTTAACTACATGTGGAGTAGGCAACTTCCAACGTAATTGAAAGATGACTTTCAACTAGGCTGGGGAGGTTCCAAACTAAATGGGAAATTTGACGTTTGAACCCAAGATTCCATAGAAGAAACATTTCAGGTCGTAACATTGGGCTTTCAAATATACTTTTTTTTTTGCAATGGTGGTGGTCCTGCAGATGCGAACATGACAAGCTAGAGTTAAGCAGTAAGCACCAGGTTCCCATGCTATTAGAGCCGGATCAAGGTGAAGCACTGAAGTGGCACTGAAGCGTGCAGAATGGCTATAAATCTCCAAACAAAGGATTCACAAGTTAGAGAGGAGAGCCCAAATGGAATGGAAAGAAATGAAGAAGTGACTCCTATGATCATAACTATCAATGGAATGAATGGGAAGTAGTATAAAGCACGTGGATGCCGTTGTTCCACCCAACTACTCAGATTCCATCATGAAAGGATACAATGGTGCAGGCCCGTACCTACGCAACAAGAAAAATAACTAATGCACGTTAGTTAGGTCCCATGCTATCGGAGACAATTCAGGTGCAGCAGCACTAAATGAAGCGTGCAGTGATGGCTATAGAACTGAGACAGTGATTTGGAATACTGGGATGCGAGAACCGAAATGGAAGGAAGGGGAAAGTGACTACCCTAATTGTAACGTATAACAACACAATGGACAGGTGGAAATGTGCATAAAGCACGTGCGGGAGTCACTTTATCCAACTACACGAATTCCACCGTGGAGAGAGGGAGGGGGATAACGGTATATATAATTTCACCCGTGACCATAAGCGCTGACAGGAAAATGACAGATGCACATTAATTTCTAATGCTATTGGAGCCCGTCCAGGAGCAATGGCATTTAAAGGGGAAAGTACCTCCACAAATCATGCCGTATTACAACGGACAGGGTGACAGGCAACAGATAGTACGTGTGAGGTCTTGGCTCCAACTACTGAGATTCCATCATGGGAGGATGAGGCCATGCACGAGTGTAACCACTAACAAGATAAACGACAAATGGACCTTAACTAATTCACATGGTATTGGAGCCAAATCAAGTTGCAGTAGCAATGAAAGGTCAAAGGAGCATGCAACCATGCCTATAAACTTCCTGTGCAAGGTAGCCTAAATGCCTATAAACACATCACGCTGGACATGGTAGCAGCAGCAGACAGCACGTGCACAAGCCCTTACTTCATCTAATCTAACTACCAGATTCCATCATTCCATCATGGAAGGATCTGATGGTACACGAGGCAACCACTTGCGAGATACAACAGATGACCGTTAAATAGCCAAAAACTAGTAACATTACCTTCTTGCTTGCTTTGTCATCCTGCTTCTTGCTAGCGCCATACTTCGCCTTCTCCTAAACAAGGCAAACATTAAACAGTTTGAGACAAAATATTTGTCTTCCTTTTACAGGACAGATACATACTTACTAACTAACTATATAAGCATTGCACGCATCCGTATACCTCATCCGACATTGAGCGCCACTTCTCCCCTGCCGCCTTGCTCACCTATAAGCAAAGCCAGGCATATATGAGCCACCTAAGCGAAACCCTAGAATCCAGCTACATGACTAGGGTGAGGAGAGGCAACTTACCTGCTTTACGCCCTTGAGCTCAGGGTGCTTCTCCAGGTACTGCGGCCTGAACTCAGCCCTACCAACACCACCACAGAAAATTCAACAAAACCCTAGAAAATTGAAAGACGATAGGCGTAGATCTGGAGACGCGAAAGGATGGGAAGAGGAGGGGCGGTAGAGCTTACAGAAACACGAAGAAGGGAGTGAGACCGCGCTTGGCGCCGCCGGCCTTCTTGCGCTTGGTGCCGCTGGCCTTGAACCTTCATCGGAGAAAACGAAAAACCACACGCACAGAGATCAGTCGCTACACCCTGCAAGCCACATACGAATTGCACACAAGACGAGAGAGGGGTGGAGAGAGGCAACTTACGAGGTGTCCTTCATGGCGACGAGCGGTTAGGGTTTGCTGAGGGCTAGGGTGCAGGTGACGCAGCGATTGTGGAGCGGAGGGGAATGCTCTGGTCTGGTTCCCTTGGGAAATGCGGTGCGTGCGAGCTAGGGCGATGAAGAGAGGAGAGGTAGTGTGAGGGCAGTGAGGCTGTGCGAAACGGATGGGAACTTGGGCTCGTGTTCCGCAAAGTGGGTCACGAAAGGGCCGTCATGCGGCCCACTTCTGCGAATACTCTCATATATTTATCAATGTTTTTTCTTTTGCGAAATATTTATATCAATGTTTTTGTTTCTCAAAAAAATACATCACTGTTTTCTCTTTTTTTCATGACCTTTTCTTTTGTCAAAAAATGTTTTGTACAACAAAAAAACACCTATGGAAAATGCACACACGTTGAGACAGGGATTGTGATGATCCTAGATTGAAGAATGTATTTATGCCGGTCTCTTTATAGTAAAACACTAGCAAGCTGCCCATGCGTACAACGGATTTATATAATAAAAAATGTTTAATTTTTTCTACACTCTAACAATCTATTTAGATGGATTTTTATATACTATTTAAAAGATTTTTCATATACAATCAATATCTTCTACCATCAGTTTTAAAGAGGCTCCAGCATCAACGGTTGTCTCTTTTACATGTACGAATCGTTACACAGAATCCTCAAAAGGAAAAAAAAAACATTAGGCAAAACCACACTGCAGAAACACCACCACCAACTGTAGAAAAAGATTCATATGCAAAACCAATCACCACCACCAACTGTACTTTTATATAGAAAAAAATAGAGAAGATAACCACTCGAAGTCACTATATCTCAATGAAAAGAAAAGGGTGCAGTATGCACACAATATATATCATCATTCCTAACGATCAACAAAACGAGAAGATCATAAGACTTTATCTAAAAGATCATACGACATGCTTAGTTCCTACCGTTGCCACTAGCCAGTTTCCAAGGGCTACCTCAGTTGAAACACTCTCGATGTACCGATACAGGCATACAGCGTATAAAGAATCATAGGGTGACATTGTGATTTCAGCAATTGTGTGCCAGCAAAGAATTGATGTCCTTCAGAACTATACAGCGGCAAGGGGGGATAGCACAGGCAATCAATTCTTCTTGTTGCACTTGGATAAACATTACTGTAAATCTGCACAAAAGGGTCATCAATAGTAGCCATATTATACCACTACTCTTGTGTCTTGTATATGCCTTGCTATACACTTTAAAGATAATGTGATAGCAAAATAATAAGCAATCGACCAGTCTTTGCGAGTGTTCTGATGTTTCTCTCAAGTCCTATTTGCCTTCTCCATCTGGAACTGTATGAGATTCTCCTTCCACAAGCTGTTCTCCAAGTACCTTTCATAGAATGTAACCTCACCTTCTAATTTCGCTGCTAGCGCCACCATGCTTCGTGTTCCATATCGTGCCTGAAATCAAGAAGAAAGATGGATATAGTTTATTTCCAAAAAGAATAATGATAGCTACTGAAATACTGAATGTCATGGTTTGTGCCTGTTCCTTTGCAGTGTCAATGAATATAGAGCTTAGCTTGTACTCCCACTCAGGGTCGACGCCGGTGTCAGGCACCATAGATCTATCAGGCCTGGCAGTATCGATCATCAACTCTTCTACCATATGTTTTAAAGAGGCTTCTGCATCATCATGTGTTGCCAGATATCTTTTGAAACTCTGTCCTAAGCGCATTGCCTGCAGGGTGAGAAATGAATGCAACAAGTAAAACATGTCCAACAATTGTTCGACTCTAAATTATTGGAAGAAACTTAGTCCGAAAATTACTTAAAAGAGTAGAAAATAATGGTATTTGTACATTAATACTTAATAGTAGGGAGCACATATGAAACGAACAAAACCAGGTTATCACTTGATGAAACTAGAATATTTGCCCATAGTGTTACATATTACTTACGAAGTCCAGAACTACTAAACCAACACAATAAATAAACCTATGTAACTAAATTGACCAAATTATCTGCTCAGTTTCAGAGAAAGCAAAGATAATACACATAGACCCGTCATTTGGCTGCAATAGATATTTCAGGCATTATTATAGGGTAGAACATAATTGTACAAGTTCCATTATGAGATATACTACTTCCCCATATATTAACTGCAGACGATCTGTTAGAGATTTAGGCAATTTAATGGTCAATTTAATCCAGAAATAAAACTTCAGCATATTCGTGACGGCATATATGTGCATGTGTGTATTTCTAATGAACGCTACAAAGATGCGAGATATGACATACAGACGAGACAAGAAAAGCGCAATTACGATGAGAGATTAGATCGTAATTAGCGAGGGTCCCATCTGAGGGCATCGGAGGCTCCCATGCCCTCGACATAGTGCGTTACTCGATCGCGGACCACGATCAATGCGGGGCGATGTTCGCAGTCAAAGTCCCCCCAGAACGGATCACCAGGAAGAAGACGTCTTGCTGTTCCGCAGGCAATCACCATGAATAAGATAGGTTCCGAGAGCGATCACCACCAGGAAGAAGGCGTACGTGGATGAGCAGTCGCGGATCGCACCCCAAAAACCTAATCGTCGCTCACCCCGTGCAAGGATCTCAGGCGGACGAGGGTTCCGGAGGCACTTGCTCTCCCGCTACTCCGTGCGCCAAAGGTACGGGACGGGGAAGCCAGAGGGCTGTTGAGATGTGATTTCTCTCGAGAACGGTTGCGGAAGACTTAGATCTGAACTGACGGAGGACTACGGATATATAGCTGCAGACGGAAGGGAGAAAGGCAGCGGAGAATCCTAGGAGACGGAGAAGTGGAAGGGACGATAACTGACGCAATCAGTTCGCCTTCACCATCAAAGGGAGAAACTCCTGTTATTATGTGTATTTAAGTGGCAAAAGATCGCCACGCCTTTGCCGCCTTCGCCACCGCCGCCCGCCACGCCACGCACGCCACGCCACGCCACCGCATCAAGGGCGGCGGCGGCGGCGCATGGCAAGGCAGGTGGCACACATATGTCATTTTCTCAGCTTCTCAATTAAAATGAATAATTTCCAACCATATAAGCTGAGTCAACGTTCAGTCAAAATTCTCGTATGATATTAAACCATACAACGCTTAATGTTACGTATCATAGAGTTTTATTTGATCTATTAAATATTATATGGGCTAAGCCCATAATATATCCAACAATCCCCACCAAACTCTAGGGTTTGTAACAAAGTAGTCTCAAAATCATATTTCTTTTATATACCAGTGTTTCGATGGAGACTGTTAAGTTGAACATCCATCTAGAACAATAGTTTTACTCAGTCACAACTGAACAATGGACTAAGCCTTGAATTGACAGTTTTGTGTGATGTGAATGTCGCTAAAGTCCTTAGCTGATACTTGGCTGCAAAAGACATTCCCTATATTTGAAGCATATAAGTCATACACCAGTGTCTTTCATGAGTATTTAGAGATCACCCAAATCTCATAGACTGTGACCAGCAGTCTGACTCATAAAGGTGTACTCCTCAAAAGATGTTCTGTAGGATAACATCTTTGTTTTAACAAGTCACTTGGAACACATTAAGGTAAAAACCAACCTATCTTACGAAAAAAAATATATGCATCAGAAATGAGTCTTCCTAAGAATCTTTCATCATAATTTGCTACTAGCTTATTTCACCATTCCACTTCACGGGATCTCCGATCATATAGAACAGGTTACCACTATAGTAAAATTTAAGTGGGTCTCAAACCCATCTCTCTCGATGCACTTTCTATCACATTGCTTGATAGACCCTTAGTGAATTGATCTGCCAGATTGTTAGACGTGTGAACATAGTCCAACGCTATTACTCCGGAGTTTCTCAATTTTCTAATAGATTTTAGTCTTCTCTCTAATATGTCTTATGGACTTCATGTTATCCTTAGAACTGTTAACCTTCGTTATCACGGTCTGGTTATCGCAGTTCATAGAAATAACCGGTATGGGTTTTTCAACAACCGATAAATCCACAAGGAGATCACGAAGCCACTCGGTCTCAGAGCCAGCGGATGTCTAATGCTGCGAGTTCTGCTTCCATTGTAGACTTCGTTAAGATAGTCTGCTTGCAAGACTTCTAGGAAATAGTGCCACCTCAAGTGAAAACACATATCCACTTGTGACATAAAGCTCATCAACATTAGAGATCCAGTTGGCATCACAATAGCCTTCAACACTTTCGGATGTCCGGTATAACGAATACCATAGCTCATAGTGCCATTTAGATAGCGCATCACTCTCTCAAGAGCACGCCAGGATCATCTCCCCGGTTTGACACAAACCGACTCAAACACACACAACAAATGAGATGTCAGACCTTGTTGCACTAGCAAGATACATGAGCGAACCAATGATCTAGGAATATCTCAACTGATCCCTTGCTATTCTTCAATTTTTCCTCAATATCACACTCGGGTCATAAGGTGTAGGAGCAGGTGCACAGTCACTAAACCCAAAGTGACTCAGCACCTTTTCCACATAGTGGGATTGTAACAGAGTTACCCCACCATCACCTTCTCTCAGAAGCTTGATATTAAGAATAACATCAGCCTCTCCCAAATCTTTCATCTCAAAATTATTAGTTAAAAATCCCTTCACCTCCTCAATCACTTTGAGGCTGGATCCAAAGATCAGTATGTCATCAACATATAAGCACAAAATGACTTCTTCACCCCCACCATACCAATAGTACACACATTTATCAGCTTCATTCACAATAAAGCCAGCAGATGTTAAAGTTCTGTCGAACTTCTCATGCCACTGCTTGGGAGCTTGTTTTATACCAAAATAATGACTTTAATAATTTACACACCTTGCATTTTTGACCATTTGCTATAAACCCATTCGACTGATCCATATAGATCTCCTCCTCTAACTCTCCATTTAGGAAAGCTGTCTTAACGTCTATTTGATGAACGATCAGACCATAAGAGGCTGCCAGGGAAAGCAAAACTCGAATGGTGGTCAATCGGCCGGTGAATAAGTATCAAAGAAATCATCACCTTCCTTTTGAGTATAACCTTTGGCCACAAGCCTTGTCTTGTATCTCTCGATAGTATCATCAGGCCTAAGCTTTTTCTTGAACACCCATTTGCACCCTATAGGCTTGCACCCATAAGGTCGATCAACAATTTTCCAAGTTCCATTAGACATAATAGAATCCATCTCACTCCGTACTACTTCCTTCCATAAGTCAGCATTAGGAGAGGAATATGTCTCTTCAATGGTCGTTGGTGTGTCATCCACAAGGTACACAATATAGTCATCACCAAAAGACTTTACAGTCCTCTGTCTCTTACTTTTCCTTGTGACTATAGTGTCATCCTCCTCATGATTTTGCATATAGGGTTTCTCAGTTTGTTCTATCGGAGTAAAATTTTTATGCTCATGGAAAATTATAAATTCATGACCAGTCATGCTAGGTGCATTTTTATGGGAAACTCATTCTCAAAAAATATAGCGTCTCTAGATTCTATGATTGTATCAATAGCCATCTCAGGAACACTATAATTTATAATTAAAAATCTATAACCCACGCTGTGAATAGCATAACCAAGAAAACACAATCAATAGTCTTTGGTCCAAGCTTTCGCTTTTTGTTTATTGGCACATTCACCTTTGCCAAATAACCCCAAGTTCACAGGTAAGAGAAATTTAATCTCTTCTTCCCCCATTCCTCAAATGGTGTAATTTCTTTGTTCTTTGTGGGCACTCTATTCAGGACATGACACGTTGTCAATATAGCATCACCCCACCATTCCTTAGATAGTCCCGCAGTCTCTAACAAGGCATTAACCAAATCAGTTAGAGTACGGTTCTTTCTCTCTGCAATCCCATTGGACTGTGGTGAGTATGGTGGCGTCCTTTCATAAATAATTCCATGCACCGCGCAAAACTTAGAGAATTCATTTGAGAAATATTCTCCCCCGCGATCGAACCGCAAACGTTTGATTTTCTTCTCAAGTTGATTTTCTACCTCAGCTTTATAGACTTTAAAATAATGCAACGCTTCATCTTTAATATTCAATAAATACACATAGAAAAATCTAGTACAATCATCTATAAATGTCATGAAGTATTGTCTACCGCCTTTAGTCAATTCGCTATTCATTTCACATAAATCAGAATGAACGAGTTCTAATGGTGCCAAGTTCCTCGCCTCAGCAGCCTTGTGAGGCTTGCACGGTTGCTTCGATTGTACACACACCTGGCACTTAGAATCTTTGACTAAGTTAAATTTTGGGATTAAATTTAGATTTGCAAGCCACGTGAGACAGCCAAAATTAATGTGACAAAGTCGTGAATCATTAACATTGTTCACTACTTTATTATACACATCATCAAGCAAAGATAAGCGGAACAAGCCTCCGCAATCATAACCTTTTCCAACAAATGTTCCATGTCTCGACACAACACATTTATTGGACTCAAGCACAATTTTAAAGCCATCGCGACACATCTGAGAACTATTAACAAGATTCTTCTTGATGGAGAGGACATGCTGCACGTTCTTTAATAGCACCGTCTTTTCCGAAGTAAACTTTAGAATGACCGTACCAACACCAAGAACACGCGCATGCGAATCATTTTCCATCAGGAAGGCTCCAGTCCTGCCGGCCTGATAGGAAGTAAACAAAAAAACATCAGCACACACATGAATATTAGCACCGCTGTCCATCCACCACTCAGGTGGAAGACAAACTGAAAGAACAAAGGGTAAAGAATTACCATACCCAGATGTTCCTCCTCCAGTCTCGCTAATGACCACGTTTGCTTATTTCTTTTCTTGCTTATATTTGTGGTCTGGGCACGCACTTGCCCAATGCTCATCACTCCCGCAAACAAAGGAACCTCCACCTTTCTTGTTGTTTTTCTTCTTAAACTGTGCAATTTGCTTAGGCGTTGTATTGTTGTTCTCTTGCATGTTCTTCTTCTTTTTATTACGAGATGCAAATGAGTTTTTTTCTACACCATATTGGCATCGGAAGACTCAACTCCTTTTCCATGGTTGTCTTTTGCTCTTGCCCTCTCCTCAACATCAAGAGATCCGATAAGTTCAGCCACGCTAAACTCCTGTCTCTTGTGTTTTAGAGAAGTAGCAAAATCCCTCCAAGAAGATGGCAGCTTAGCGATTATACCACCGATCACAAACTTGTCGGGCAACAGGCATAAAAAATATTTTAGTTCCTTTGCTAGCGCCTGTATCTCATGAGCCTATTCGACCACAGAACGGTTTTTAACCATTTTGTAGTCATACAGCTGCTCCATATGGTACAACTCACTACCAGCATCATAAACTCTAAACTTTGCCTCAAGAGCATCCCATATCTCTTTGCCTGATGTTCAAGATATGTAGTTTTTCTCATACTTGGAATGAAGTGCACTAATCACGACGCCTCGAAACAGGTTATCGGTAGCCAAGAACTTTTGCTCCTCCTCAGGAGTAAACTGTTCAGGCTTCCCCTGCGCGGCGTGATAGTAGTTCATCGCAGTCAACCACAATACCATCTTGGCACGCCATATCATGAAATTCTTTCCATCAAAATTATTTGGCTTCAAAGCAGCAGCAAAACCACTGACAAAAAATTGTCTAACATTAGATTTTTGGATTGTTAGAGATTTAGACAATTTAATGGTCAATTTAATCTATAAATATAACATCAGCATGTTCGTGACGGCATATATGTGCATGTGTGTATTTCTAATGAATGCTACAGCATGCAGACATGACATACAGATCGAGACAGTTAAAGCGTAAATTATAGTAATCAGAGAGATTAGACTGTATCCAGTGGAGGGTTCCATGCCGAGGGCATCGGAGGCTTCATTCGCACTAGTCGACATAGTGCGTTGCTCGAAGTCGTGGACCACAGTCGATGTAGGACGATGTTCGCAGTGCAATCCTCACGAACGGATCACCAGAAAAAGATGCCTTGCTGTTCCACAGGCAATCACCGGAAAGAAGACAGGTTCCGAGAGCGATCACCACAAGGAAGAAGGCGTACGTGGATGAGCAGTTGCGGATCGCTCCCCAAAAACCTAATCGCCGCTCATCCCATGCAAGGATCTCAGGCGGACGATGGTTTCGGAAGCACCTGCTCTCGCTACTACTCCGTCATGCGCGTAGAGGTACGGGACGGGAAGCCAGAGGGCTGCTGAGATGTGGTTTCTCTCGGGAGCGGTTGCGGAAGACTTAGATCTAAACTGACGGAGGACTACAAATATATAGCTGCGACGAGAAGGGAGAAAGGCGGCGGAGAATCCCAAGAGACGGAGAAGCGTAAGGGACGGTAACTGACGCAATCAGTTCGCCTCAACTATCAAAGGAGAAACTCCCGTGATTATATGGATTTAAGTGGCAAAAGACTGGCCACGCCCGCCCCGGCCCGGCCGGCGGCGGCGCGCACGCGCGTGTGGCACGCCTATGTCATTTTCTCAGCTTCTCAATTAAGATGAATAATTTTCAACCATATAAGCTGAGTCAACGTTCAGTCAAAATCTCATATGGTATTAAACCATACAACGCTTAATGTTACATACCATTGAGTTTTATTTGATCTATTAAATATTATACGGGTCAAACCTATAATATATCCAACACAATCATGGACTTGTAACATCAATGAATAGCATAAGAGCATTTACTGATGAAACAACCTAACGATCAGCAACAGAAATCATAGAAGAATGGCATTAAGATGGAAGAGCTAGCATGTCACAGCAAATTGCAAGATACATGAGCATTCTGGTGTTTCACTGAAAAGTGAAACCTGCAAAATTAATGGGAACTTTCCATAATAGACTGAGGGAGCATCAAATAGACCTGGGCTTTTAAGACTACAGCCATGCCTAGAAAAGTACTGTGGCATTAGCTTCTTTAAAGAACCTGAATCTCAACTTTGAAGTGCATTACAACTTCCAAAAATAATCACATTCCTAGCATTCGCAATATCTTTATAAAATCCTTGTATGTCTTACACTCTTACCTTTGGCCAAGGGGAATCAATTGCAGCATTCGAAAGCACATGAAGCCCAGGAGCAACTGTTTGAATCACAGGATCACCTCCAGGTCTATTAGAGATGTAAACCATGGTCCCTGAGTTCACATCAGCCAATATAAGGTTAAATCCATTGTACTGATTTGCTTCCTTTGCAATTTCTGTGGCATACTCCAATGGACAATGGCTGCCCTACATTCAAATAAAGTAAAGGTTTTCTTAACACAGACAAGGAAGCCATGGGGGGAAACATAAGCTGAAATAGAAGACAGCAAAATGGACTACTCAGTATGTAATTCTAGAAAACGTTTTACAAAGGCAAAGACTAGTTTCTTCGATTACAAAAGACGAATGCTGGAACTTCACTGCGAACCGATCTAACATTAAACACAGCCATGCCTCTGCATTTTTCTTTTGCAAATGATATTGTCTGCACATACAGATTGGCACCAGGTTGCCTACTGGCTACTGGCACAGAACATTTTAAGCAGCGTTCGTTTCCTTGCAGCATATGCATAGCATGATTACACAGTAATTTAGCCTTATCCCTCTATAATCATCGCAAAGCTGACAAAGTCGAACCTGTAGAAACCTGACCGGGAGCTGTCCTCTGGTCTTGGCCCCGATCAGCGAGCTGGGTTCCCGCACGTTGGTAAGGAAGGCGACCTTACCGTCCCTCGTGCACCCCATCCACGTCCCCCCGCCGAGCTCGTCCCTGCCTCCGAGGGTTTCCTTGCTGCCCTCTCCTGCCACCCACCACTGCGACGGCTGCGTCTGCCTGGGCCAAACCGTAATACGAAACCAACTTGCTTCTTCATCTCACTTCAGCACGTCCAAAACAGAGTACCTCACTCCATTGTTGACGTACAACCCTAAACAAATCCATTGATTTCCTCATCAATTCTTGAGAGAAAAGGGTTCACAACTTGATTAGAGAACAACTCCATTGATTCACAAACTCTAAAGAGCACTTGGTTCACGTTTTAGCCGGCGATTGTGTTTGTTACTCTTGGAGCTTGGTTCATAGCCGGCTAGAGCGTCGTCCGTGGAGCTTGTCAACTTGTGTGGTAGCCCTGGAAGGTTTGTAACCATCTCTTGAAGCTAGTAAACTCATCCCTTATCTCAAGAATTAAGTCTCTTGACTTGAGAATGATGAAGGGCTAAAAAGCTCTAAGCCTTAGTGGCTAACCTCAACAACGTGGAGGTAAGCAAACTTTGTTGGCGAGCTGAACTACGAGATAAATCATTGTGTCACTTGTGCTTGATTTACATTACTTGCTTGACATATTGTTGTTGAGGTGATTTCTAGAATTTGAAGCTGATCTACTTGTGTATGGTGTTCCCACCACCTTTAGCTATCGATCTGTGATCTACTACTCTGCAGGAAGCTAAGAAATTTACTCTACCTAAATTTCGCTGGATAGATTTTGAATTGTGAACTAATCTATTATGCAGGTGCGGCAGTGCCGCGCTCACAGAGCGGCAGTGCCGCAGGTGAATTTGACTTCGTGTTGAGTTGAATTTTTACAGGCCTATTCACCCCTCCTCTAGGCGTACTAGAGATCCTACACCTTCACGTGACCCCATCCCATGCTCCCCGGCGAGACGCTGCTCGTGGTGGATGACGTGGCCGAGCGAGCCCGAGGAGGTTGCCTCCTAGAGCCGTGTGGGGGTCCAGACGGCCTTGACCAAGATCAGCGACGCAATCGCCATGGTCGCCCGGCTGGGCGCAGAGGCTCATCGTCAGATGACCGATGAAGTGGTGGTCCAGGAGCAGGTGGGCTTTCCGTCCTTCTGTCTCCACCATACTTGTTTTGTTTTTGTTGCGATCGTTTAATCATTCCTCCTTTGTGTAGGGGTTGATGAAGATTTCAGAGGAGAAGTCTCGGTTCTTGCGTCTGGCTTATTAGACGCAAGCAAGAGGTGCCACCGACCATGGCTGCTTGGAAGCGGCGGAGGCCGAGGTGCAACGCTTGCCCGGTGAGTTGGAGGCCTCCCAGAGGTCGAGGGAGGATCTAGCCTGCCAGGAAGCGCTTAGCTCAGTCCTAGATCGAGGCTCTGACATCCTAGATGACTGGTCTCAAGGATATGATGGCTGTCTAGGAGACAGAGCTCATCTCGGCAGGCGCTGCTCGGGATATGGCCAAGTAGGGGCATCAGCACCTCAAAGCTGAGTGCTAAAACTTTGCTCCGCGTGTAGCGGTGAGTCTTCTTCTATTTTTCATTATGTTTCTGTTCTGCCATCACGTCTGGTTATGAACCAGTTGTCTTTTTATAGGGTTGCATGCAAGGGCGCTCTTGGATCAGGAGGAGAATGCGGCTGTGAGCTAGAAGGTGCTGGAAATGGACACTTTGCTGGCAGTGCTGACCTCCTCCGGACGGGCCCTTTGCGACGTCGTGCTCGGCGCCCACTACGAAGGCCTTGACTTAGAGGCCATCCAGACCGGCAGGAGCCACGACCCCAACGCTCGGGATCATGGCCATCAGCTCCGCAGGCCAATCGCGTGATCGACGACCTGGGGGTGGCTACCAACTCCTGTACGACGCCCCAGAAAACCAAGAGGCAATGATAAAGACAACGGTGGAGACCACGTCGCATAGGATGGCTGGCGAACCACCACCGTGTCTACAGTGCCACCACGGTCGGCATAGTAGCACCACGTCACACTATGCCATGACGTGGCCACAGGACGATGACGACAACCATGCCCAGATGTGCACCACAAGACGACATAGCTTGTAAGCCAAGTTAGCTAGGACCACCCTTAGGCTCACAACCCTTCGGTCGGGAGAACCTTCTTCTTTATATATGCCCTAGCCCCAGACTCTACATAAGGGCAGTCAGGCCACCCATCTTGGGGATCCAAACTAATTCACTCATTCTTACACCATAGAAGGGTCCTAAAGCTTCCCTTTGGGTAGCCCGTCTCCTAGCTCTAGCTCTCCTATCTCTTCCACCATTCTTGTACCCCTATTGTAAGAACTTCAGAGCATTCAAGCAAGAAACATGCACTTGATCATCTCTGAGACTAGATGTAGGGCTCGACCTGAACCAGTATAAATCCTCATGTCTTTTAGATGCTACCATCGTCTTCCAAGAGCAGTGTGGCATTGGTATAAGTTTACTAGTCCGGTTTACAAAACACTAATAGTTGGTGCCCCAGGTAGGGGACAGTCACACACTCTCGTTTGTTGAGAAGGAAGCGATGGCTCCTCGCACCGTCGGTGGACTCGCTCGTGGAATGGCCCACGGTGGCCACATCCACCACAAAAACAACGAGTTCACCAGCTATCGGTGTTTCGAACTGGGAGGTCCTCAACCAACTAGTGAATTTGAACTATGTGCCCCTAATCCCGGATGGTGATGCAAAGAGACACAAGGTTTATACTGGTTCAGGCAATAGGTGCCCTACGTCCAGTCCGAGAGTGCGATCTTGTATTCCTTGCATCGAGGTGCTTGTAGTAGGGGTTTACAAGCAGGGCGAGAGAGGGTGCTAGTCCCAGGTCTCTGCGTGGAACGGTGTGGACTGCTTGAGACGTTGCTCCCAGGCAGTGGGGGGAGCGTGTGTTATAGAGTGTTGCTTGCGCGTGTGTGAGAGCGTGGTTTTTCGTGTGTTCTCTCGATGCCTAGAAGCGGCCCCGGTCACTCCCTTTTATAGTCGAAGGAAGGCACGTGGATGGTACATGGATTGCTACGTGGCATTTTGTGAGCGGAGGCGGCATGCCAAGCCCTGTAGCTTGTCACTATGGCGGCATGGTCGATGAAGCGGTCTTGTCCTTGGTGCACTGGAGCGACATGCCGACCACGACTGGTTCTGTGCAACGTGGGAGCTCCTGTGGTGGCAGGCGCGTCTTCCTCTGCCGGAGGCGTGCTGGTTGCTGCATGTTTGACCGGCGTGGAGTGCCGAGGCCAGGCTGACGCGATGGTGCGGGCGTGCTGACTCCGAGGATATAGGAGCTTGGCCCTACGCGTGACATGGGTGCAGCTTGGCGCAGGGTACGGTGCGTACTGCAGACGACGTGCCGGTCGCTGTGTGTCGACAGCGTAAAGAGCCAAGGCTCAGTTGGTGCTGAGGCCGAGCCATCGTGGGGGGATCGGCGGGCGTGAATCCTGAGGCTACCAAGACCCTGAAGCGGATTGCCGAGGCTCAGAGAGAGCAGTTGGTCTTGTACACTGATTTCGAGGCTACAGGGACCCAGACCTAACTCTCCACGCCGTGCTATTCTCGGAGCAGGAGTTAGGTAGCACAGTGCAGTACGGGCGTCAGTCATGGGCACAGTGCCAAGCACAGCGGCCGGTAACCCCTGCCCAGTCCTGTCCCTGACTGCATGGCGTTGATGTGACTCCCGTCCCATCGGCCACTCCACTGTATTGTGCCGCCGCGTGGCTGACGTTGCGGGAGTGGTTGGACGCGTTAATTGGACTTGACGTTTTGTCAGAGAAGTCGGTTGAGGCAGTGGTGACGGGGTCGTTGCCGAGCCGGCCTCGAGCGAGGCGGAGAATCGATACTTCGTCCGAGGCCTTACGGCATAAGGCCTCGGGCAAGGGGGCCTCGGCGAGGCGAAGAGTCGGCACCTCATCAGAGGCTATGCGGCGCGGGCCTCGGGCGAATCAGAGAATCAGCCGAGGCCTCATCGTTGTTTATTGGCTTTGATATTTACAAGGGCTAAGCAATTTTTTCGGTTCTCGCTTAGGGTACCCCTTTTTATGGTATCCGACACCGGCGTCAGAGGGCCAGCGCTCGCATCCTCCTTTAGCCACGTCCCAGACCTCAGCTCCAAAGATCTAGACCCTACGAACTATGGCGGACACACTCTCGGAACTGCCCTTAGTGCAGCATCCTAGAGTTCACCTACATACGGGGCCAGTACCCACTTTCGCCATGAGCCATGGTCAAGTCTTCCACCTAGGAAGCCATAGGCCCACGGCTTTGGGTGAGCTCACCCAGGGAATGTCCTCGACCAGCCACATCCTTTTGGGAAACCATAAGGTTATCCACACCAATGGGTCAGCGCCCATCACCAACTTCTACCCTGTCCAGGCCAACCGTGTGGGAAGCCTGGGTCCGATGGTAGAACCACACCCCGAGCAGCGTCTCTGCAACCAGCGGAGCACAGCGTGTCAGGGTGCGCACGAGCGATGAAATCACCCACTGCCATATGGCGTCATCGTTAGCGATCAGGTGGCTACCCTACGCCATGCCTCGCAAGGCCAAGCCCGAAACTAGGGTCCAATCCTACATGATAGACAAGCCATCCGGCACGTCTCAGCAGACTGTCAGCTGTCACTCGGAGGCACGTGCATCCAAGGAAGCGGGCTCCCTAAGCGCACCACGCGCTGCACCGAGTGGACTGAACCACGTTGCCCTCTGAACCTGCTCCCATGGCGATAGGACACGCCGGCTCTTCGTCAAGAGTAGCAACCATATCTAGGAGCAGAGATGTGGCGACCGCGACGTCGTCGTGCCACCAAGGCTCGAGCATCAGAACGCGCGGGCTTCCCTAGCCAGAAGCTACAATAGGCCGAACTGCACCCTCGGGGGCTCGCAAGCCTGCCGAGGATGTCAAGCCAGGAAAGGTCGACCCAAAGCCATCCGAGAGGTCGACCCATGCCAGCTGCAACCATTCCAAGCACTGAAGAAGCCACACCCCGAGCAGCGACAGCTAGTTTCACAATAGCTTTCGGTACA